TGTGCATTCATCTCAAATGGAAATACAGAATGTTTTTTTTTTTAGATTTTGGATGTGCTCTATCTCAATCGCGACTGTATGAGTGACGAGGTTCGAAACAAAGCGGTGTCTGTCATCTCTCATTCGTTGGCTAATGAATGGAGAATGTGAGATCAGCTTACTTCAGGATTTACAGTCTCGGAAAATTATTGAGATGGAGCAAACTTGATTTTTTATTATTTAGGTTGGACACAATATCTCTTGCTCGTCGTTTACTGACATACTTAGGCGATGAGAACTTTGCCGAGCAGCTGACATGGATAAAATCATGCTTGAATGTGGAAGAAGAATTGTCGAAGCGGGTGGCTCTGCAAGTTGGAAGTTGCTTGTTACGGAAATGTAATCGTAAAGTTATCTTTTTTTCTGTCTCACAATTCAAGCTGTTTTTAAGGCAAGAATGGAGCACTAATAGCTGTTTTGGCCGCTTTCTTACAGGATGAGGATCAGAGTATTCGCGAGGAAGTGTGCTTTTTGATTTTTGTTTCAGAGAATTGTTTCAGAGAATAGCTCATTGCTTGCGAGTTTGCATGATTAGAGACCATGCATTTGACGTTCTAATCGCAGTATATATTCTGCAAATCGCACTTCCCAAATCTGTTCTTTAACTCCCAGTATTTAGGCTTCATCCCTACTTTCAAAAGAAGTCCTGAATTCTGAGATGGCGCTGAATCCTGATGTTTGCTATCGATTGATTAGTTCGCTCACAACTAGAGAAGCGTCGTATGGTTTTGGAAAAGTAAGTTTGAAAGTTGAATCGTTTCAAAACACCTTCACAAATCAGTCCTCACTGATAAACAAAGATCAAATGTTGCCACTCCATCTTACCTAACTATGATTAAAGCTGCGCTTGATACAAGTTAGTCGGTTGCTTTTCGTGCTCGGTAAGAAAGGTCATTCACCCACACTGACAGTCGGATGTCCCAACTTTTCCAGATTTTACGAGATAAATCTAGGCTTTAATGAGAGCTTTAGTCTGCGCTTGTAAAGCGCTAATTGGCTTTTGGTGGTCGAAGCTAAAGTTGACTATCTGAACTTCACCTATCACTGCCAGCTAATGTGTTTATAGTTCTATATCTGCGCCGATTCTTTCGGAGTTTCTCGATTTCCATCACGACAACTACGGTTTGAAAGCACGCGGCCCGCTTGTCTAGTAAATCTCATTGAAAACATGCCCATAAATTATTTAGAACAAGTCGTACCTTGGTTTGACATTTTAGATGGGCATTCGGTGCCCACTTACTCCCCAC